GAGTGAATCAAGCATCGGCACAGGCACACAAGTTGAATGCAAAGGTACGAGAAAAAGTGAACCGAGCTGTAGTCAGGTAGTACTGTTCACCTTTTCTCTCTTGCAGATTACTGCGAGGTGAACAATGGAGGCTGTCATCCTCATGCAAAATGTTCACATCCCGAGAACAGCAATGATGTGAAATGCGAATGTAAGCTTGGGTGGGCGATGAGTGGACCTGCGGGAGCTACTGGAACACAAGTTGTTTGTGAAGGTCTGTAATCCATTGAAACACGCTGAAGAGCATAACTTCAATGCCTTCTATGATTAATAGATTTCTGTGCTGTGGGAAATGGTGGCTGTCATCCTCAAGCAAAATGCTCACATCCCGACAACAGCAATGATGTGAAATGCGAATGTAAGACGGGCTGGGCGATGAGTGAAGCCAGCATCGGCACAGGCACACAAGTTGAATGCAAAGGTATGAGAAAAAATGAACGAAGCTGTAGCCACACAGTATTATTCAACATTATCCTTGACAGATTACTGCGAGGTGAAAAATGGAGGCTGTCATCCCCATGCAAAATGTTCACATCCCGACAACAGCAATGATGTGAAATGCGAATGTAAGCTTGGCTGGGCGATGAGTGAATCCAGCATCGGGACAGGGATCGAAGTTGAATGCAAAGGTATGAGAAAAATTGGAGCAAGCTTTACTCCCATGGAATTGTTCGCTTTTATCGTTTACAGATTACTGCGAGGTGAGAAATGGAGGTTGTCACCAGCGGGCAAAATGTTCCCATCCCGACAATAGCAATAATGTAAAATGCGAGTGTCAACTTGGTTACAGTAACAATGGGTCAGAATCACAAGTCGTTTGCATAGGTGGATTAGTGGTTGAAAAGAAATAGAAACTTTAACAATATGATGTACTTTATTTCAGATAGCTGCACATGGTACAATGGTGGATGTGATGTGAATGCTGAGTGCACTCATAGAGACGCTGATTTTGCGGTGGTATGCGGTTGTCGTAAGGGTTATACTAAAGTTGGTACCGAGGATGTTGTTAAATGCAAGGGTATGGGTTTATCAAGTTTAAGCATTGTGTAATTTTTGTGTTTCGTGTTGTGTAGATAGTTGCTATGAGAATAATGGGGAATGTGGTCCGAATGCACAGTGTAGTCATGAAAGTGGTACATTCGCTGTCGTGTGTAAATGTCAAGTTGGATACATTAACAGTGGATCGGATTCGACGTTGAGCTGCATAGGTAAGAAATTGGGTTCAGAAATAAATTTTATGGAATTTTTTGTTCGTTTCAGATAGTTGTAAACGTGATAATGGTGGATGTCAACCTGGAGCAGTGTGTTCTCATGATCCTGTAACGTTTGCAGTTGTTTGCGGTTGTCCAGATGGATTTGTGAACTCTGGTTGTGGAGCTGACTCTAAATGCGTTGGTAGGTTTTGATAGTCCGCATCAGGATGAGTTTTGTTTGGTTTGGTGATGCGTCATCGCTTATTTAGTGAAAGAAATGAGTAGACCATGAGTGAGTTGTAGTTATGAAACGAATCCAATTTGAATTTTCTCTGACGAACTTTTAGTTAGCGGTCAGATTTTCGAGAACGAGCGAAATTTATTGGAAGCTCGATGTAGATTGTCTTTCTAGTTGATTAAACTTTTTGTTTGTTTTCTTTTCTTTCTTGTTTTGTCCCTGTCACATTATCATAGTTACATATGACGAGGATGGTAGCTATTGATGATGTATGACTTTCAATTCCATCAGGGCCAAAAAAATCGTATTTAAGAATGTGATTAAAGAAAATGAATATCGCTCCGTATTCAAGTTGACATTGCATGTAAGAATCGGGTAACATTCCTGCGAGTTCGGGTCGTCGAGTTATTGTTTACCAGTCTTTAGATGAAGAAAAGCTTAGGCAAAGAGAACTGTATATCATTGTGTTGCAGATGGCCATATCAACACAATATATGATGAAGTGCTTCGAATTGCTGATTTGTATTATAGAAAATCGGTTGCCGGAAATTTGTAAGGTCCTTGAAAATAGGCTTGTGCTTATTGTGTGCCTAAACGATAGCATTGTTTAAGTAGTAAAGCATATGGAAATTCAAAACCTTTTTGTTCTTTATTCATGAAATCGTAGAGACTTTGAAATTTTACAAAGTCAGATAACCTGTCATTGAATCTTACGCACAGTATTGTATGTAGAGTAGTATCCTTTTTAGAAAATATTTTACATGAGTTTAATTAGTCCTTTAATAAATAAATCCTGTAAAGATCATTAGGTAGTTGTCCACGCTATTTGCGGCAGGATACATAGTGGAAAATATTCATTCAAAATCATGCATCAGTGCCTTTCATGTTAGATGCAGATCAGTAGACTACATTTTAGATGTATGTAGGGAGTTCCACGAGGCTTATAACAGTTTCCTGGAAAATCTCTCGAATTAGTGTTTTGACTTTCTATTTCATCCAAGGATAGCGTGAGAAGTATCTGCGTCACAAAAGAAATACAGGTGACTTTATACGCCTCGAAAATTAACGAAATATGAGGTATATGTAAAGGTAAGTTTCTATGAGAAATGATGTGTTTTTAACGAAATCCTTCAACAGTGTTCACTAAATATGCATGTTCCTCGTATTTTAACAAAGTCTCAAAGCTGATAGTGCAAAATTCTACTTTACTGTGTTCTGCTAACTTTTCATACCGTCTTCGGATTGAGCAACATATTATTATGGATAGTTTTCGAACATTTCTAACAAAAATGTGTATGTTTCGTTAGCTGACAGATTTCCCAAAAAGTGGTGTAGACCTCATGGAATTACTCATCTTTTATTCTCTTCTTTGAAGATCATAAGCGTTGAGAATGATAGTTAACCCATGACCAGCATCTGTTCATAAAGGTATTCAGATCACATCACATAAAGGTATATTTAATATACTCTGATTTCGAAGAATGCTTAGTAGACAAGGTCCGCTAAGATAGCCATTACTATGTTCTCTAAGTGATTCGAAAGCGACATTCTGTCAAGTATTTACTTGTCAGAAACCAACAAACTATAAATTGATTACTTTGATAGGTGACAGCTATCGGAAACCAAGGTACCTTGTACCATATTCCATGACATTAGAGACTGCACTTTTAATCGATTTCCATACTACTTACGACGAAAACAATCTAATTATAATCGATATAGGATAATAAAAAATCAACTCATACGACTTCTCACAGTTTACACTTAGAATCATCGAAACAATTTTCATTCGGCAGAAAAATAAAAGTATAATTAAAACTTCGGATGAAAAAAATGTGTCACTTAGAAAAAAAAAATAAAAATATTGTGACTTATAATTACAGAATCTCCATTTCCATGCAACAGAGTGTATCTTTCATAACTTAAGATTAAAGTAAAAGAAAAAGAAAACTCTTTAGAAACCTTTCTTTCACTAAGATATTGCTATTCATGTGTCAGTTAGAAGCAGGATTTCTAAAAAGATACATGTTGTGGACTGACTTTTTGAAATAAATGCTCCTCAGAGCAGCCTTCAGTGAGTTTAATTCAATGCTTCATCAGCAAAACTCGGTTCTTGCAAGGCAATTATAATTATGTTCGTTTCAAACACAGAATTGGGTGCACTCCATGAATTTTGCCATGATCAATATCAAATTCATATTTTTTCTTTTAGATGTTTGCGAAGTAAAAAATGGTGGATGCGATCCGAACGCAGCATGTTCCCATGGTGGTTTAAAGAATGCTGTTGTGTGCACTTGCAAGAAGGGTTATACACCTGTTGCTTCGGGATCAGTCACAATATGTGTTCGTATGTTTCGCATAAGAGAGTTTCATTATTTTGAGAATCTCATATCTTTATTGAATTATAGAGGCGACGACTACTCTAGCTCCTGGTACTCAAAAGGCTTTTCTGAAAGTCGCACATATGAATTCGATGAATCCTGGATTTCAAACAGGTCAATGTCCATCTAGTCCAGATGGTCGCTATGGATGGCATTTGCTCCTTCAGGGTACATCAACATCATTCGTCTCAATATCTTGTTTGTTTAAGTCAGCAGGTGTTGTGACTTCTATGATACAAACACCAAGTAATAAACATGCATATGTCTTCACGCCTACGGCCGATACTCTTCTTGATGCATGGGCAGTGGTTCAAGGTCCTGATACAGAATTCGTTTTGAGTCACGTATGCAATCCAGGATCATAATTTAGTATTGACTTTGACTGAACGAAAATTATAATATTCATTAAAGTTTCATGCTTCTGGTTTTTTTTTCTTTTTTGCTTTGCTATTCTTCGATTTGAAACTTTGCTTGAAGAGTTTTGATAAATAGCAATTCAAATTTTTTCGGTGATGGACAATAAATATGAAGCGAATAACATATTGGTCTTTTTTCTCAAGACGATACATTTATTGCCACATATGTCATTGCGAACACACGTTCAAGGTACTAGTCCAGCAGGAAATGTGCGATATGAATAATCGAGAAAAATGACTCCTTTAAATGGCATCATGTCGTATTTGTATGATTGTTACCAAAGTTCAAGATTCGGCTCAAATGGAAGTAATTTCATAAAAAAGGTTGTGGTCTTGCCCAACAGTTTGTCTTAAAAGACTGATTTCAGTGCTAGAATGAAAGATAGACGGATGCATGCTCAATAACTCAGCAGCACCAGCAGCTAGTGACATGTAGAGTTCAGCTGATAAAATAAGAGATTATTGAATGTTTTTTTATCTAACATTGTATGAGACGAAATTATTTGAAACACTGTAGTTAATAAAAGTTTCTTCTGAAAGTAGATTGCAATCGCTAATCGATACCGTAAATGTTTGATCAAGACATTTTGATTTTGATTAGAGCAGTATCAAATCTACCTTTTTCTGTGAAACTCAAATAGTAACCTACTCGTTTTGTTATTTTTGATCACTTTTAATCAAGCTTGTGATGGTATATAATAGTGGTGAAAATTGGTTTACATCGTAAAATGTCATTATCAAAAGATCATCTAGGATTTACTCTAAAATTATATTCTCATTAAAAGCAAAGATTTCATTCATGGTGATTGCCATCTATATTGAGGATCATAACAATGCTTGAATGAACTCCACCGATATAAGAAAAACTAAAAATACAGAACATGAGATTCGAAATAATTGGTCTTCAAGTGCTTGAAAATATCTCTATATTATTTAAATTTAGAGAAGTCGCGCGATTACTTATGCTTTGAAATAATTTTGTTATATCAAGATGCGTCATGTATATACTTACACATTCTGTTCCAATATTCTATTTCTGTAATAACTGCTAAGATACATACAAATGACACAAAAATGTGTTTCCAAAATGATGTTAGGGATAGGGGAATAATTTATCAATGACTATACACTTAGAAAAAGGATCTATATCTTTTATTGTAGTCCTTTGTCTCTCCAATAAATCATCTGAATTTCTAGTAAAGTAAAAGAGTTTCAAGCATGCAGTTTTCTCTAGTCAAAAAAAGATTTGGAAGTCACAATGATGCTTTGATGAGTCATATTATCATGATTTGATTTATTCGATAAAATGAAAAGTTTATATTATTTTCGAATATACAATTATTGCTCAATTAGCTATCATTAATCATATTATTGCGTTTGCTGGCGATATTTGGGTTGATGTTGTAACTCTTTCAAGTGACCGTATAGTTCTAAAATATTTGATAAAATGTTTTTTTGAAGAAGATGCTACTTCACTGGTTAATTATATAACTGCCTATCAAATTCTTTTCGCAGCTTGGAAATTTACACCGAATATAAATATATTTATACATATGACAGCAAGTAAAGTAAAAGAAAATAAAACATTTTTTCAAGCTTTCAATTTTAATTATAGATGATGTTGACATTGTGGCTATTCAATTATGTAAAACAATTGAAAATCTAAATGTTTTTGGAACAGCTTCAGAATCAAAACATTATATTATCAAAAGGAATGGTATGCACATATCTATTCGATTATCGTAAATAAGATTACATAAATGAAATTCGCAACATTTCACCTAATAACAAATAAAGAACAAAAAAAACATTTTTCCTTTCTTATCAATTGTTATTCTTCTTTTCAAGGTGTTGATATAATTCTGGATCCGTTAAATGAAGAATATAATATACGTAGTTACGATTTACTTGAAGCATTGGGTAGAAGAAGTATATTTTGATATGCATTAAATCCATGTTTTTAGTGATCAACATAAATATTATTTATTCTACTATACAGAAGTGCGCCAAATGTTGATGCTGGTGGTGAAAATCGTTCATAATTAACAGGATATATATGTGAATGTGAGAATAGATGTAGGTGTGGATGTGAATATGGACGTGTTGGATATAGATATGAATGTAGATTTGAGTTCTTTTCAACAGAAGCCTCATACTCACATCCATTGTTAGTGCCTTTCGACTCTCAAGAGTCGAAAGTCTAGTTATTGACATGAGTTTGGTATCATTTCTCGTCAAGAAATGATTCTACAGATAACTAGATATGTCTTCAAACATTTTCATTCAGTTTTCTTAGGAAAA